GCGGCGCTAAGGGGCGTGGGGCGGCCTGCTCCCCCTCCCCCGGGGCTGCGCCCGGCCTCACCGGTCAAAGAAGGAGGCCAGAAGCCGCCGCAGCAGGACCTTGTGCCGCGTGCCCGCACTCACGTGGCAGTTCATGAGCTGCGCCCTCGTGATGTACACGTTGGTGCCTGGTGAGGGAAGGTGGGGATGGCCAGGGTGCCCCCGGTCCATCTGGTCCCCCTTGGGGGAGGACCTGGGCTGACCCACTTTTCAGACCTTCTGCAGAACTCCCCAGCTGGGCTCTGGGTGCCCCAGGGACCTGCGACAGTTGGGCGACCTCACTATACGCAGTGCACTTGCAGTGTGACCACGTGATCTGCCCACCCCCCAGGGACTGGGGGTCCCCAAGGACACTGGATGTTTGCTCGCCAGCCACCCCGGGGGCAGCTCATCCTCCCCCAGCGGCCTAACAATGGCCGCCACCGAGGACATCCCCCGGGGTGTCTGCTGTGGCTACCCTGCCAGGCACCTGCTATCTGTGCCACTGAATAGACCGGGAAACCGAGGTGTTCAGGGCTACGGACCGCTCCTGGACCCAGCATGCTGCTCCTTCAGCCCGGGTGGGCTGGAAGCCTGGGGTGGGAAAGGATCCGGAAATGAGGTATGGCTGGCCTACCTGTCACCAGCTCCAGCTTCTCAGAGGGGTCACCCTCGTCGTAGAGCTTGGGGTGGCAGCGGTTCCCGATCTGGTTGATGAGCTCGGCCGGGAGGGATGCCAGCTCCTGTCGCACTCGGATGCGATTCCGGGACTCGGGAGCCGCCTGTTCGGGGAGGGCCTCCACCTTCTCAGCTGTGGGGAGAAAACAGGGCAGCGGTTGGGAGTCTGGGCGGGCCACGCTGGGGTTGAGCCTGTGGCTGGGCAGGCCCAGGCGGGGCCTGGCGGTGGGGCGGGGCCAGGCTAGGTCTTGGGGGCGGGTCTAAGAGACAGGGCCTCACCCGTGGGCCCGACGTTCATCATGCTGTACATGGTGTACATATTGCAGATCTGCCGGTACTGCTCGTCTGTACCCTCCTCGCCCGCGTCCTCCTCCTCGTCCTCCTCGTTGTGGTAGGAGCCGGGGCTGTCGCTGGTGTAGGCGCTGGAGGTGCCCGGGCTGGTCCGCTCCGACGTGCTGGGCCCAC